TTTTTGAGACGGAGTTTCGCTCTCGTTGCCCAGGCTGGAGTGCAATGGTGCGATCTCGGCTCACCGCAGCCTCCGCCTCCTGGGTTCAGGCAATTCTCCTGCCTCAGCCTCCCGAGTAGCTGGGATTACAGGCACGTGCCACCATGCCCAGCTGATTTTTTGTATTTTTAGTAGAGACGGGGTTTCACCGTGTTGACCAGGATGGTCTCGATCTCTTGACCTTGTGATCCACCCGCCTCGGCCTCCCAAAGTGCTGGGATTACAGGCGTGAGCCACCGCGCCCGGCCTTTTCTTTTTTTTTAATTTTTTTTTGTATGGGGAGGGAAACCTCTGAGTGTTGCGCACAGCGCCTGCGTAGCCCCGCCCCCAGAGGATTTCTCTTCTGGAAAGTAAAAAGAGAAAACGGGATCCCCTAATTTCTTACATTGGACTTTTTTGTTGTTGTTGTTGTTGTTGTTCTAATGTGATTCCTAGAATTGCTGCAGCTACCCGCAACAATGAAAGCTGTCAGAGCTTTCAACCTCAACACATTGACAATGGCAGGGATAGAAAGAAATAGGGCCTCCTGAGGTCACTGAGCCATGGATTAAACAGCACTGGGGCTGCCCCACCTTTGAACCTCTTATTGAGTGAGGAAGAGTATATTTTCCTTATTGTTGAAGACAGTTGTCTGTGCTTTCTGTTACTTGAAACTTAAGAAAACCAAAGGCGACTGAGCAGAGTGGCTCATGCAGATAATCACAGCACTTGGGGAGGCCGAGGCAGGCAGATCATTTGAGCTCAAGAGTTCAAGACCAGTCTTCGGAACATGGTGAAACTCCGACTCTACAAAAAATACAAAAATTAGTCAGACAAGGTGGTGCACGGCTGTAGCCCAGTTACTAGGGAGGCCAAGGTGGGAGAATTACCTGAACTCAGGAGGTGAACCAAGATTGCACCACTGCCCTCCAAACTGGGCAACAGCAGTGAGGCCCAGCCTCCAAAAGAAAAAAGAAAACCTAGAAAAGTAATGTCAAAAAGAAAATAACCTAATGATATGCCTGGAGTGTAAGCAGAAAGAGAATGTAAGTAAGCTGCTCAACAATGGATTCAGGATATATATAAAAAAATTTTTAATATATATTTTAAATAAAAATTTAACAAAAAAAGAGAAGGAGTTTCACCATGTTGCCCAGGCTGCTCTCAGAATCCTGAGCTCAAGCAATCTGCCTGCTCCTGCCCACCAGAGTGCTGGGATCACAGGTGTGGATTGATATATTTTAATCTATTGGAGGGTTTTGTGTGTTTTTGTTGTTGTTTGTCTTATTTATTTATTTTTTTAGATGGCATCTGGCTCTGTCACCCAGGCTGGAGTGCAGTGGCACGATCTCGACTCAGTGCCACCTCCACCTCCCGGGGTTCAAACAATTCTCCTGCCTCAGCCTCCCGAGTAGCCAGGATTACAGACGCATGCCAGCATGCCCAGCTACTTTTTGTATTTTTAGTAGAGACAGGGTTTCACCACGTTGGCCAGGCTGGTTTCAAACTCCTGACCTCAGGTGATCCATCAGCCTCGGTCTTCCAAAGTGCTGGGATTACAGGCATGAGCCACCATGCCTGGCCTCAATTTTTACAATATGGAATGCTTCACAAATTTGCATGTCATGCTTGCACAGGGGCCATGCTAATCTCTGTATTGTTTGAATTTTAGAAAATGTGCTGCTGAAGGAAGCACTTAACCTATTGTTGTAATTGAAAAAATAAGCTGGCCAGGTGAGGTGACTCATGCCTGTAATCTCAGTACTTTGGGAGGCCGAGGTAGGTGGATCATTTGACGTCAGGAGTTCAACACCAGCCTGGCCAACATAGTGAAACCCAGCCTCTACTAAAAATGCAAAAAGTATCTGGATGTGGTGGCATGTGCCTGTAAGCCCAGTTACTTGGGAGGTTGAGGTGGGAGGATTGCTTGAGCCCAGGAGTTCAAGGGTATAGGGAGCAACAATTCTGCCTCTGCACTCCAGCCTGGGCGACAGAATGAGACTCCATCAAAAAGAAAGGAACAAATGAGCCGGGCGCGGTGGCTCAAGCCTGTAATCCCAGCACTTTTGGGAGGCCGAGGCGGGTGGATCACGAGGTCAAGAGATCGAGGCCATCCTGGTCAACATGGCGAAACCCCGTCTCTACTAAAAATACAAAACATTAGCTGGGCATGGTGGTGCGTGCCTGTAATCCCAGCTACTCAGGAGGCTGAGGCAGGAGAATTGCCTGAACCCAGGAGGCGGAGGTTGCGGTGAGCCGCGATTGCGCCATTGCACTCCAGCCTGGGTAACATGAGTGAAACTCCCTCTCAAAAAAAAAAAAAAAAGAAAGGAAAAAATGAACAAAAGAGAGAAAGAAAGAAAGAGAGAAAGAGAGAAAGAGAGAAAGGAAGGAAGGAAAGAAAGAGAGGAAAAGAGGGAGGGAGGAAAGAAAGAGAGAAGGAATGACTAACTTGGCTAGGCACGTAATCATGCCTGTAATCCCAGCACTTTGGGAGGCTGAGGTGGGCAGATCACCTGAGGTATGGAGTTTGAAAACAGCCTGGCCAACATGGTGAAACTTCAGTCTCTACTAAAAATACAAAAACTAGCCAGGTGTGGTGGCAGGCACCTGTAATCCCAGATACTCTGGAGGCGTAGGCAGGAGAATCTCTTGAACCCGGAAGGCAGAGATCACACCATTGCACTTCAGCCTTGGTGACAAGAGTGAAACTCCATCTCAAAAAAAGGAAGGAAGAAGGAATAACCTATCCTTTTACTTACATAAAAGCTGATTTTTAATAGTCTCTCAATCAATTGTGTAAAAAATATTTAGTGCTGTACTGAATACAAAACTGTGGACTTTACCCAAAGATGGTGTAGACCAAAATCACTTTAACGTTTTTGTTAAATGCCTTATCAGATAGCCAAATCAAAAGTCAGATCTGAGCTAGGCGCAGTGGCTCACACCTGTAATCCCAGCACTTTGGGAGGCTGAGGTGGGTGGATCATGAGGTCAAGAGATCGAGATCATCCTGGTCAACCTGGAGAAACCCCGTCTCTACTAAAAATACAAAAAATTAGCTGGGCATGGTGGCGCGTGCCTGTAATCCCAGCCACTCAGGAGGCTGAGGCAGGACAATTGCTTGAACCCAGGAGGGGGAGGTTGCGGTGAGCCGAGATTGCGCCATTGCACTCCAGCCTGGGTAACAAGAGTGAAATTCTGTCTCAAAAAAAAAATCAGATCTGGTATCCATAGTTTATTATAAAGGTAAGGAGCTTAACTTAGGCGTTACTATGAAAAGGAAATCAGTGTCACTTGTTCAAATCATTAGCCCATTAACTGAGACCCCCAATTTCTGATACAATGATTAGCTGCAGACAAGCCTAACTAACCACAGCAGTTACTACTAGAGTTCAAGAGCTATGATTCTGCTTGCGCTGCATCCTGGGTGACAGAGTGAGACTCCATCAAAAAGAAAAGAAAGGAAGAAAGAGCCGGGCGCGGTGGCTCAAGCCTGTAATCCCAGCACTTTGGGAGGCCGAGGCGGGCGGATCACGAGGTCAAGAGATCGAGACCATCCTGGTCAACACGGTGAAACCCCGTCTCTACTAAAAATACAAAAAATTAGCTGGGCATGGTGGTGTGTGCCTGTAATCCCAGCTACTCAGGAAGCTGAGGCAGGAGAATTGCCTGAACCCAGGAGGCGGAGGTTGCGGTGAGCCGAGATCGTGCCATTGCACTCCAGCATGGGTAACAAGAGCGAAACTCCGTCCCAAAAAAAAAAAAAAAAAGAAAGAGAGGAAGAGTAGCAGTTACTACTGTGGTTAGTTAGGCTTCTCTCAGTAACCCTACTGAGACTGGATTTGGGAAAGAATGCAAAAGTGTGTTTACTTTTAATGAAAGCATTCCTTAAACCTCCCTCCAGTTGGGCAGCCACTTGATAAAAAATTTAAAATTTCATCATATCAGAACAAAGAAATGCAGAATCAGGGTCAGCGAGAATGTTCAGTTATTTGTCATTCTGCTGTAATTCCCCTACCAATATGGTCTACTCATGGCCATTTTACTAGAACTGTGATTAGAAAGCTTGGTCATCTAGTTAAAAAGTGCACATTGCAGTGGCTCTTGTCTGTAATCCCAGCAATTTGGGAGGCCAAGGCAAGAGGGTAACTTGAGGCCAGGGATTTGAGAACAGCCTGGGCAACATAGGGAGACCCCTATCTCTATAAAAGTATAAAAAATTAGCCAGATGCGTTGGTGCATGCTTGTAGTACCAGCTACTTGGGAGGCTGAGCCAGGAAGATTGAGGCTGGAATTGTATTTTTAGTAGAGACGGGGTTGAGGCCAGGAGTTTGAGGCTGCGGTGAGTTGTGATTGTGTTATTGAACGCCTCAGTGACAAAGTGAGACCTTGCCTCTAAAAAGAAAAAGCTCATGTCTTTATTTTAAAGTAGTTTGTTTGCTCCTGGCAGTCTAGGTTGTGGTTTTCTTGAAGCCCATAAATTTGGGATTGTACAAAGTATATTCTCATGCATTTTAACTTTTACTTTCTTGACTATTGGAGTTTCAGGATTCACATCTCTTATTTAAAAATAAAATAGGTTTCAGTGTTGTCACGTACCTGGTTCATGTCCCCTGCCTGTTTAATGGATGTTGTACTTCCTTTCCAATATTTATTGTAGAAAAGCCCACCCCTTGTCTTCTGTGTCTACTCATTTTTCTGTTCACTGATGACTCGGAAGCAAAGAAATGATAGATGTGACCCTCAGACAGTCTAAGCCTCATAACTGGGGAGGAAAAAGGGCATGACCACTTCGTACATTTAACTTGGTACACAGAAACCAGGCTCTTTCTTCTGTCTCTCAAAGGACATTCTGACCTTTTTGATTTGGTTTGCTACTACAGGATTTGTCTGAGATCACTGGATAGTGCTACAAGAATGTCAATAACCATCTGCCAAACTATGAAAGGAGAAAATACTCGGAGCCAGGCTGGCTATGTAATTTACCATGGGGAGTGACAGGACACACTTGACCTTATTTGACAAACCCTGAAGCCAGGTCTGGTCCCAGCTCCATAGAGAAGAGAGTACAACAGAGTGATGCGTGCTTGAGCTTTCGGGCTAGACAGACCCATGAATCTCAGCCCCAGGCCCTCCTAGCCAGTGGACCTTGGGAAAATAATTTGACTTTACAACTCTTTGCTTTTCTCATACTTTTTTTTTTGAGACAGAGTCTCACTCTGTCACCTAGGCTGGGGTGCAGTAGCACAATCATAGTTTACTACAGCCTCGAACTCCTGGGCTCCAGCAAGTCACCCACCTCAGCCTCCTGAGTAGCTGGGACTGTAGGTATACACCACCACACCTGGCTAATTTTTGTATTTTTAGTAGAGATAGGGTTTCACCATGTTGGTGACCTCCTGACCTCAAGTGATCTGCCCGCCTTGGTCTCCAAAAGTGCTGGGATTACAGGTGTGAGTCAGTGTGCTCAGCCTAAAATTTCTTTAATAGAGAGGAGCTCTCTCTAGGTTGCCAAGGCTGGTCTCAAACTTCTGGGCTCAAGTGACCCTCCTGCCTCGGCTTCCCAAAGTGCTGGGGTTAGAGACCTGAGCCACCAAGTCAAGCCATGGTAACTGTTTCAAACAACGGAATGTAAAACAATATATACAATATGTTACAATTTTGCCTATATTTAATTTGGGGTTTGTTGTTGTTCTTTGTTTTTTGTTTTGAGACAAAGTCTCACTCTGTCACCTAGGCTAGAATGCAGTGGAGAAAATAGGACTCACTGCAGCCCTGTTCAAACTCCCAAGCTCAAAAAATATTCCTGCCTTGGCCTTCTGTCTAGCTGGGACCACAGTTTCGTGCCATCATACCCGGTCAATTATTTCATTTTTTGTAGAGATGGGGTCTCATTTTGCTCCCCAGGCTGCTCTTGAACTCCTGGGTTCAAGTGATCATCCTGCTTTGGCCTCCCAAAGTTCTGGAATTACAGGACCAGCCAATATTTAAATATTTAAAGACATAGAAATCTGCTGGAAGAAAATACTTCAAAACGCAGTCTCAGAATGTCAGAATTACAGGTGATTCATATACCTTTCCTTCTGCTTGCCACTAAGTTGTTTTAATCTCTCATATTTTTTTTGCATACGGACTTTTATATAAATGTGATCATATGTCTATATTTTCTCATGTTTTGCTTGGTTCTTTCACTCAGATAGTTCCATTGATTGCTCATTCAACAATAAATTCTTTCCATGATATTTCACTTTTTTTTCCTTCTAGAATATAAATCCTGATATTTCACTTTTTTTTTTTTCAACACAAGTTCTCAATGTCCCCCAGGCTGGAGTACAGTGGCATAATCACTGTACCCTGTAGCTCACTGTAGCCTTGAACTCCTGGGCTCAAGTGATCCTCCCACCTCAGCCTCTCAAAGTGCTGGAATTACAGATGTGAAGCACTGCGCTTGGCCTATCATTCATTTTTTTTAAAGTGGTGTTCAAAATGAACAACATTATCTGGCCAGGCACGGTGGCTCACCCCTGTAATCCCAGCACTGTGAGAGGCCACGGTGGGCAGATCACAAGGTCAGGAGATCAAGACCATCCTGGCCAACGTGGTAAAACCCCATCTCTACTAAAAGTACAAAACAGCTGGGCCTAGTGGCATGTGCCTGTAATCTCAGCTACTCTGGAAGCTGAGGCTGGAGAA